TACACATGTCTATCTCTCACCTGTCTAATTACCTGTCTATAACTCACCTGTCTACCTCACCTGTGTTTTTACACCTGTCTATCTCTCACCTGTCTAATTCTTACCTGTATATCTCTCACCTGTCTACGTCACCTGTGTTTTTACACCTGTCTGTCTCTCGCCTTTCTTTTTTACCCCTGCCTACCTCACCTGTCTTTTTTACACATGTCTATCTCTCACCTGTCTAATTACCTGTCTATAACTCACCTGTCTACCTCACCTGTGTTTTTACACCTGTCTGTCTCTCGCCTTTCTTTTTTACACCTGCCTACCTCACCTGTCTTTTTTACACATGTCTATCTCTCACCTGTCTAATTACCTGTCTATAACTCACCTGTCTACCTCACCTGTGTTTTTACACCTGTCTATCTCTCACCTGTTTTTTCACACCTGTCTACCTCACCTGTGTCTTTACAGCTGTCTATCTCTCACCTGTCTATCTCTCACATGTCTACCCCACCTGACTTTTCACACCTGTCTACATCACCTGTCTTTTTTACACGTTTGTCTCTCACCTGTCTATCTCTCACCTGTCTAATTCTTACCTGTCTATCTCACACCTGTCTACCTCACCTGTCTTTTTTTACACATGTCTATCTCTCACCTGTCTATCTCTCACCTGTCTTTTCACACCTGTCTTTTTTACACGTCTCTCTCACCTGTCTATCTCTCACCTGCCTACCTCGCCTGTTTTTTACACCTGTCTATCTCTCACCTGTTTAATTCTTACCTGTCTAATTCTTACCTGTCTATCTCTCACCTGTCTACCTCACTTGTCATTTTTACACGTTTATCTCTCACCTGTTTTTTTACACCTGTCTATCTCTCACCTGTCTGTCTCTCACCTGTCTATCTCTCACCTGTCTGTCTCTCGCCTGTCTTTTTACACCTGTCTGTCTCTCACCTGCCTACCTCACCTGTTTTTTTACACCTGTCTATCTCTCACCTGTCTAATTCTTACCTGTCTATCTCTCACCTGTCTGTCTCTCACCTGTCTGTCTCTCACCTGTCTGTCTCTCACCTGTCTCCAGGTATGGTTAATGGAGGACGACCGGCACATCCTGTCAGTTCTTTCCTGTCAGAACAGAATCCAGCAGGAAGGGGGTCCAGCAGGTCCAGGAGGGTCTGAGGTGGTCCTGACTCCCAGCAGTCTGAAAGGTAAGACAGCAGGTTTTTTCTTGTCATTCTGTGACTCTAAAGTTCTGTGGTCCTCCTGTCTGCAGGAGGAGGAGGAGGAGTGGACGGGACCCACCGCTCCTCTGACTGTCTGGTCATCACCATCATGGAGCTTCCTGACCGCTCTCCGTCCTCTGACTCTCTGAACGTGCTGAACGTGGTGGGTCTTTACCGACCCCCCAGCCTGGACTCGCTGCCCTGCAGCCTCCCGTCTCAGAAGTGCCGTGCCTGGACGTCCCACAGCTTCCCCCGCTGTCTTCTGGGGGTCCTGTGTCTGGTCAGTAGCAGCTCCACAGCAGGGACACCCTGTCCACCTGTCCAGAGTCTGAGGACTAACCCTAACCTGTGTTACCTGCTGCTGTTTGTCTGCAGGTGTACTTCAGCTCGCTGCCTCTGGGGATCTACCTGCTGATGATTGGTCAGCTGTGGATGGGCGTGGTCCTGGTCAGTCTGGTGCCGTGCACGCTGCTACTGCTCGTCCTCTACGGCTTCTGTCAGTGCATGTGCCACGAGGTCAGGGAGGTTCTGGCTGCACGCAGGCTGCCGTGACCACAGCAGGACGGCCCGGTGCCAGGACAGGGACAATAAGATAACCTGTTGCTGTGGAAACAACACCAGACCACCATCATCAACACAACTGGAAAACCTGAACTCACTACTGAACGGTTAAGTTGTGACATCACACAGGCCCCTCCCCTTCTGAGCACCAGCATGCCCCGTTTGTTAAAACAGCCAATCAGAGAGCTGCACCATGGCCCCTCCTTTTTCCTGTTGGCCAGTAGTGATGTGACGTTCGTGAACGATCCGAATCTTTTGAACAGCTCTTTACAACAAACGATAGGAGCTGATCGCGGCCATTTGTAGTTTTATTTCTTTTATTCTTCATATCTTTATTTTTTCATACTTAAATCGCTCCCACTTTGCTTTTTCACAGAAAACAGGCGGAGTTGTGGAGTACAGAAGCTCACGGTGAAAGGGGGAGGGGGGCTTCCGCTTCACAAACACATGGTTCCACCCACGTGACGGGATGACGTCATTACGTACGGCTACGTGATGACGTGTTTCCCTACGTGATGACGTAATACATTCAAAATCGAACGGCTCTTTTCAGCGGCTCTATGAAACAAACGGCTCCCCAAGATCTGGATCCTTTCAAGGTTCCATTTGTCCCAGCTCAACAGGAAGTCCACTAAGACCCCACAGGTGTCACAACGGTGGTTCTGATTGGTTCTGATGTTTGTAGTCTGTTCACATGAAGTCAGGTGAGTCACTTACAGACTGTGAACGTCAGGGAGTGTTTGGGTGTGTGACCCCTGACATCTGACCTCTGACCCCTGACCTCTGACCCCTGATATCTGACCCCTGACATCTGACCCCTGACATCTGACACCTGACCTCTGATATCTGACCCCTGACCTCTGACCCCTGACCTCTGATATCTGACCCCTGACATCTGACCCCTGACCTCTGACCTCTGATATCTGACCCCTGACATCTGACCCCTGACATCTGACACCTGACCTCTGATATCTGACCCCTGACCTCTGACCCCTGACATCTGACCCCTGACATCTGACCCCTGACCTCTGATATCTGACCCCTGACATCTGACCCCTGACATCTGACCTCTGATATCTGACCCCTGACCTCTGACCCCTGACCTCTGATATCTGACCCCTGACATCTGACCTCTGATATCTGACCCCTGACCTCTGATATCTGACCCCTGACCTCTGACCCCTGACCTCTGACCCCTGACATCTGACCTCTGATATCTGACCCCTGACCTCTGATATCTGACCCCTGATATCTGACCCCTGACCTCTGATATCTGACCTCTGATATCTGACCGCTGACCTCTGATATCTGACCTCTGATATCTGACCCCTGATATCTGACCCCTGATATCTGACCCCTGACCTCTGACCCCTGATATCTGACCTCTGACATCTGACCCCTGACCTCTGACCCCTGACCTCTGATATCTGACCCCTGACCTCTGATATCTGACCCCTGACCTCTGATATCTGACCTCTGACATCTGACCCCTGACCTCTGATATCTGACCTCTGATATCTGACCCCTGACCTCTGATATCTGACCCCTGATATCTGACCCCTGACCTCTGACCCCTGACCTCTGACCCCTGACCTCTGATATCTGACCCCTGATATCTGACCCCTGACCTCTGATATCTGACCTCTGATATCTGACCGCTGACCTCTGATATC